TGAAAACCCAGGATCTACAACCAAGAATACTTTATCCAGCAAAGCTATCGCTTAGAGTCAAAGGACAGATAAAGTTTCCCAGACAAAAATAAGCTAAAGGAATTTATCAACATCAAGTCAGAATTATAGGAAATGTTGGAGATACTTCTTTAAGAAGAAAAAACATGTATCAAAATCATAACAAAAAATAGTAATAACTACATATCTATCAACAAGTACCTCAAATGGAAAAGAATTAAGTGTTCCAACCAAAAGATAGAGTGGCTGAATGGATAAGATAACAAGACTCCTACATATGCTGCCTGCAAGAGACTCACTTCAGATTAAAAGATACACACAGATTAAAAGGAAGGAGATGGAAAAAGATCTTGCCTTGATGGACCTCCAGGGTATTGCATTGAATGAAGTAAGTCAGACAAAGAAAAATACCACAGAATTTCATGTACATGTGGAATGTAAAGAACAAAATAAATAACAACGATGACAAAAATGGAAACAAACTCATAGATAAAGAGAATATTTTGAAGGCTATTAGATAGGAGGAGAACTGGGGGGTACGGCTAATAAAGGCAAAAGGATTAAAAAATACAAATGGATAGTTACAAAACAGTTATGGAAATATAAAGTGTAACATAAAGAAAATAGTTAATAATGTAATAAATATGTAAGGGGTAGAGGGGTAATAGATTTAGTGGGGTGATCACTTTGTTAGTTGTATAGAGCTCTAATCACTATGCTGTACAACTGAAACTAATATATTATTGTATGCCAACTATAATTGAAAAAAAATCATTGAATTGTACAATGTAAATGCGAGCAACTGATTGTCTATTATATTTCAATAAAGCCAGAAAAAAAAGACATTAACAAAAGAAAATATGTATCCAAACTAGTAACTTTCCAGGGTGCGCAAGCTATTCCAGTTATAGGCCTTTATTCAGGTATCTTTCTCCTTTTCTTTTTAACACACATACATATAAAGACATTGATATAGGAAAACAGACAGACAAACAAACACAGCCACACACACACACACACACACACACACACATCTACCTTCAAATATGCAGATTCAGTTTCTTTGATCAGAAAATTTCCACAATAAATATAAATTTCTAAAGAAATCCTCATCCTTGATGGCGGAGAGAAAATCACCCTTCTAAAGCTCTCTGGTCAACAACAGATATGTCATTGCAAGACACCAGCAATGGTCTAGCATTACTAGGAGCAAGGTTCCTCTGTCCTCCCCTAGACCATACTCCTCTGATTATATGTGCAATCTAACACCAAATGAATGCAATAATGATCTTAGTACCATCTCTTTCTTCATATCCTCTTATGCTATGCTTATTTCTACTTAAAATTTTTACTTTGTTTCTCTCCAGGATTTTAAGCAATCATCCTCTCTCTAAAGTGTGATTAAATCATCTCACAATATATTTTCAGTGCCCAATGAAGAATTAGATCTGCTTAATTAGCAAAGAGGACTAAGACGACTAAACTGTATCTCTGGAGCTTGAGTTTCAGACTGAATATTTATATTTGCTGTAAAACAGACAGAAATGTATTTTTAAAAAATAAAAACAATATATATGTAGTCTGAAATCATTTTTATTGTTTCTAGGAGTTTTATTATTCCAGGGCTCAAACCATAAGGTTTTTTCTTTGTTTTTCAAGAGTAATCCGAATGTCATTGCATTTATATATTCAAGGAGACAAGAAATAAAATGGTATGAAGAAATGAAGAGAAATGTAGTTGGAAGCCTGGACCTCTCTGATAATTAATTAATTAATTAAATAGTTTCTAAGATTCTTCTGCCATATAGAGTTATATCAACAACATGTTTCCATTTGGGGGTATCTGACAAAAACAGACTTTTCCCGTTGTTTCAACTCAGAGTAGTAATGCTAGGGTTTATGAATAAAGCGTTTTATCGAGTTGTGGTTTTATAGAATTTTGAGTGTTTTACAAAAACTGCAAATTTCTTCCTGTAAATCGTGACTAAGGTAATATAAGCCAAAGCTGAAGAAGAAGAAGAAGGAAAACAAAACTATCACCAGAAATGCATCATAATCTCCCCCAAATTTCCAACAATGAAAAATGCTAAGGCTTTGCCAATTTTTTCTACTTACCAATTTTATAACTAGATTTTGGACCATAAGGCAAAACTCAAGATTAAAAGAAACTCTCGTTCTTTGATGAGTAGGATGCTTCTTTTCTTGAGAAGATGAAACCACAAGAAGAACAAGTTATAAAAACAAACTCATTTTAAATAAGAGAGCTTAAAATTGATTGGTATCTCAGGAGATATTGCTTTGGCCCTTGAGTCATCATGGATAAGGATAACGTTTCCTCATTATGATAAATACTCAGAATCTTTTTCCAAATGCCTTCATCAAAGTTGGTTTTGCATTTGATGAGCTATCATTCAAAAATTAATTTCCAAAATAAATAGCCATGACAGGGTTTGAAAATTCCTTGTGCTGGGAATGACTTAGTTGTATTTTATTCTGTTTTGTTCTCAATTTCTTCTTTAAATTCAAAGGTAGAAAATTTGAGCTTTCATCCCAAAAGGGACAATTCTCTGGTGAGGTTCAGTCTCTTTGATGACTCTTTTACTTTCTAGTGATTACGGCCAGTCATAGAAAGGATCTCTGGAACTCTTTGCTCCTGGGATGATGATCTGAGTACGACTTCTCTTAAATTAACATCTCACTAATTAAACTTCTCTCTCTGGGGCTTGGCAGACTGTACAAGTTCCTAGTCAAGAATAAATGCTACTTCACCATGTCTGATTTAGAGATTTTCTCTCTTTTCAGGGACTTCTGCTTTGTATCTTCTATCTTCTAAACTTAGAACATATTGAGATTTTCTGTGAAAGTTGTATTTTAAAGCTTGAATTAATATAACTAAAGAGAGGGAAAATGTGCTTTTCTTCTAGAATTAATATATGTCTTAGTTTTCAGGAAAAATAGCTTTAAAAACTAAAAGAAAACCTGATCTAACAGTAGAAGCCCAAAGCACTATTAGTT